CGATTTACTGGGCTGCAGCCGTTACGGCGCTTGATTGAATGGTAGAGAAACGTCCGATTTCATCCGTGGAACCAGACTAATGAGACCGTGCCTATACCTGGCACGTTCACTGGCTGTTGGCTTGCATGACATGATTAATGTTTATGTCTATATTGTACGACAATTATTATTCAATTTGTACACCCTGGAAACATCCTCATAAATTTATTCTGCTAAAATAGAACGTGCGGTAGAATTTAAATGAAAATCTTTTGCGAAACGCCTGTGTGAACTAGCTCTGCGATGCTCCAATATCCACATTTGTGGATATGATATTGGACTATCTCTGTACCACATTATTTTAGCACTTGATGTCATAACATGCACAATAGGTTTGCTATGCCACCCACTTTACAGCCGATTTGGGTCATTTAGTAGGGTAAACAAAAATGGCCATAGCGAGCCAAATTTTCAAGACAGAAAGCTTAACTACCATTCAAATGAAAGCTTGTGGTCTCGGGCAGTTTTTTTATTACAAAGAAAGTGCATCTCAGGCTTAAATATAAGTATGAGTTTTCAAACTCATTTCTGTCCCCAAATGGGGCAAAGTCACAGAATTGGGGGGGGGGGGGTGTCCGCAAAGCAATATACCCCCTGGGAAAACGAATGCGGACAATATTACCCATCCTATCAGGATGGTAAAAAGTTGCAACAGGTCCGATGGGACCTTTTCGATATGATTTTTAGCCGTTTCTCAAAAAATACCCCCTCCCCCCAAAAAAAATATTAGTTTTTTTTAGCATGAAGGCAAAATACCGGTTGTGCAACTTCAGAAAGAGCAGCATATGCGGATGTCCAAGGTACCCTACAACAAAACAATATTATTAACTAATCATAAAATTTTGCGATTAATAATTAATGGCCTTAGCGTTAGCCCAGTACCGAGCTCTGTTAGCAACTTAGGCGCCCCCTTTTGTTGCGTTGGTTAGAACAGAATCAAAAGAAAATGGCGACGTGATTGCTTGGTTTTGTTCGACCACAAGCGCTTCAACAACACAACAAAAAACATTTTTGTCGGAAGGTTCACAGGAGGTTTTGTTAATTGAACTAGGTTACCGTCAGCCAAAATTTGAAACGAACCTTAATAATCATCTTTAACCTGAGATATTGGCTGGATTTAGGGAGAAAACGTCCGAATACGTGGACATGATCTTAACGGTGAAAATTTTACAAACACACGGAAGAGAATGTTGCGTGGAGGTAAGGATTTTCGAATCACGTCATGCCTAACTTTAGCCTAATAAATACAGTATACTGGACTATTCATTTTTGTTCATTTCATTGCAAACGTGTTGGTTGAAACGACATGTATGTAAGTTACTCATACATCTGCCATTAGAACAATTCCAGTCATGCTACTTGCCAGTTTTTTCAGAATTTATACGGATCTTGAAAATGCACAACTGCCACAAGTTTGACTTCAATTCGACCAACAGCAACATGACCAAAGAAGGAAAAGAATGTCGCCACCTGACACTGTTTTTTTCTTCATATCCTCACTAAAGGTCAGTCATTGCGAAAGTGATGATAAGACATGTGATCGGGGGGGGGGGGGGGGGGACTGAGAGTGAGAAACATTTCCAGTTTGATGAGGAAACAAATAGAAAATTTCCTTGACTCTGCGTAGACTTTGTCAAACTTTACACAACCGCTGAAGTAGCGTCAGGCAGCAACAAAGGATAGCGGTTCCTTTCCCTTTTTGGAAAAGGTTTTCAAAAATTGTCCTGAATTTATTTTAATTTATAATCCCACAGCACATGTCCGAGGCAGTGACTGTATGCATTAATCGTTATCTTTCTTTAGCATGTATTAGGGAAAGAATACTGCAACCTGACACCACTTCAGTGGTTGTGTACAAGTTACGTCAAGAGTCAAGCAAATTGTCAAAGTATTTCCTAAAAAAATTGGAAATGTTTCTCATCAGTCCCGGATAAATGTCTTATCATCATTTTTGCACTGACTGACCTTCATTTAGGTGATATAGCCTGTCATGAATGAAGGAAAAAACAGCATCAGGTTGCACCATTCTTTTTTTCTTCAGGACCCCGTTCCTGTATACTCACCAAAACTGCACTATGACTGAAAGTGACTTGCTAATATTTCTCGACTTGTTAATGTTATGATTCTTATGACACCTTCTTCAGTGTTCTTGAATTCAGCAGGTTTAATTTTCTGGAAAGAGGGCAGGGCTTTGGTTTATTTGGGAAATTGCTGCGACAAAACACTCTCGAAAACCAAGACATTCTTATACAATGAAACCTGATTGGCTGATAATCAGCATCAGGCGACAGTGCTGAACACCATGAAAGTTTGATGCTGATTGGCTTATTTTTTTTATTATTATTTATCAGCCAATCAGCATCAGGCTTTCATTTTATAAGAATGTTACATTTTCTCCCCATGTCCGTTTATACCAAAAGATAAAAGAAGGTTCCCAAGATTGAAAACCCTAATTTTGAAATAACACACATCCTGTAAGTAACTAGAAGTTTCAAAATTGTGCAGAAGAAAAAGTGTCCTAAAAGTAACGATAACGGTATATATTTGACTGAAGTGGTCTCTGTTCTATATTTAGCAATAAGCCACTGTACTGATGATGTCACACTTTGTTTACGTGTGCGCTTTCCTATGGTGCTCAGTGGACCGTGGCCCCCACTGGCTCCATAGGAAAGTGCACATGTAAACAAAGTGTGATGTCATCAAATACAGAGGCTTATTACTGACACAACAATATAATAAATCTGAAGCAGATTAATACCAATCTTACATCACAAAATACACTCTGTGATGCACTTGAATGAAATGCAGAACATGTAAGTATCTTTTATCCATTCCAATTTAGCAGCTAAATTGTGAACCAGTGATCCAATGGACTGTTTTGTTGTGCAATTTTGTTTTTGTTCAAGGTAACGGCGACAGAACCCATTTTGTCCGTCAAACGGATGGTAGCAAAAGAATTAGACGTTCCAGTCCATCAACAGAGACTTGTGTTCAAAGGGAAAACGTTATCAGGTGAGTTCTCCGAATATTCAGTCCAACACAATTTCAAGTAATTGAATACTAATTAATTCGAAAATGTACAGAATTTCCACTTTTATTGCTACTTCACAGTTGCATGCCTGTTCGTATCTGAATGTGGGAATGTCCTTCCGCCAGTTAGACAGGCATCAGAGATTTATTAGTGTCGCTAACTGTCTTTGATTACTCTGTTGACTCAACTTCCCACAGATGGAAATCTTTATGTGACTACAACATTGGGCCAGACACAAAGATACACCTCGTCATACGTAGACCCGACGCCTCGGAGAACTGACCAGTGCCTCCAGAATAGGAAAGAGCACTGCATTGTGGGAAGAGTTACAGGGATTGCTGCAGAAACACTTCACATCGTCCGACGCCGAAAAGATTCTCGAAGAGTTTAAAAAAGTGAGAGTTGCTCAAACCAGTCTTTGAAAATAGACATTATTGTGAATTCAAAAAAGGAAGTGGTTCACATAGAATCAGGATAATCTTCAAAATTTTACTCTTTAAACCCCTGTAATACATTGTAGTTCCCCAGGACTACCCTGCTAAATCCAACAGAGTCCAACGGCTACTCGTATGAGTTTCCTGCTCAATCCAACACAGACCCACACAACCCAACTTGCCAAGTTGTTGGGTGCCTGGAAATATATTATGACTGGCATGCTGAATCCAACAGAATCCAACCGTGCCTTATTGTTTGTGTTTTGCTGCTGGATCCAACAGAGTCCAACTTGGCGTTATTTACCAGTATCCAACAGAATCTGACTCTGAATGTTTTCAGTTGCCTGCTGAATCCAACAAATTTCAACAGGAATATCTACAGGGGTTTACTGCTCAATCCAACAGGAACCTACAGAAATGTAAAAGTAGTGATATCCCGTTGGATTGAGCGGCTGAGGGGTAACCCTAACCGCCTTGAGTGATTTTCTAGGAACCTTCCTCACTCTTGCAAAATCCAACACCATATGGTAAACTCAACACCCAAACTGTTAGACTCTGATAATGGTGGCATGCCTGACCCCAAGTAAAGCATAATCAGTTTATTGGTGCAGTCCTCATTCCAACAGATTCCAACAAAACATGTGGTTGGATGTTGAAGGGTTGGGGTGGTTAGGGTTAATGCCGATTGTAGAATAAGAAAGTGTTTGAAGATGTCACAGATATGAAAATATCTGTTTTTTTTGAACTTCAAAATGGTGTTTATTTAGATTTTAACAATACAAATTTGTTATTTATTTCATTCAGGAATTTTCAACCAATATTTCCAGTCTTAGTCTCGACGATATTGAGAGGATATCCATGTCTAAGCTTGGAGTTCACCCCGACAGCAATGAAGCAGGCCATCAACGAGCTAAGACGCAAATCCGTCAGACTTGTTTTCCTTATCCTGAACTCACCTGTCTTAAGCACAGCAAATGATCGTTGTCTCTTTGGGCGGGTTCGAACCATGGACCGCTGGCACTCTGAGTCATTTACAGAGACAGATAGTGGATATGTACAATGTAAGACCTTTCAAACACTTGGATGATTATGTGCGTGTACCTGTTTTTTTTCTGTGTTTTTTTTTTACAACAATTAACCAAATAAACCTTGTTTGGTTGTCCCGAGCCATTTTCTAAACCCTACTCCCTCAGATGTGTCAAAAATATTAAATGTGGAGGAATTAAGGCTCAAGATAACATACATACTGTACAGTCGACTCTCGTTAGTATAAACTCTGTTAATACAAAATTCTGGTTATATAACAAACATAAAGCCTTGGTCCGACTGTGCATTTATGAGCACAATGAATGGGACTGATGTTCCTCTTAATACAAAATTCTGATATAACAAACAATTGGCTAGGTCCGAACGAGTTTGTTATAACGAGACACGACTGTATAACATTTGCTTTTGCTGTAATATTCAGAAATGGACGGCCTTGGGGGTTACTTTTTTATAGAAAATAGTGTTACACTGACTGTTCTTGTAGTCTGGTTCCCTGACCCTACACTTCAGGCAAAACGGAGCAATTTATAGACAACAGGAATTATCAGGTCAGGGAACCAGACTAGCAGGCTACACACATTACCGATCGCAGACAACATGTGGACTAACTAAATCAGTCCAGTGGGGGTAGCATTTGAAAAAAAGCTGGGGTTTTTGTCCAACTATGGTTGGCGGAGCTATCGTTGGAATACAAATTGCACTTTCCTTAAAAATGACAGCATGCTAGGCTCAATGGTTTCATACATGTACAATGCTTTAGGCCAAAAAAAAAAGTCTCCTGTTTCTGGTATGCGCACGCGTCGCCGTAGCCATGCGCGTCGGCAAAATGAAAAAGTTTTTTTTTTCAATGAAAGATGATGTCTCAAAACCGCCAAATTCACTGGTTTGACTGAATCCTGCTGCTGCACAATTTTAACGTGTTTTTAGATGGGGTTTGATCGAAAATAGCTTTACATGGCTTCCTGGACTCCCATGTATTTGCACTAGTCTAGTCGGGCACCATTTGCAGTCATCAGCCGACATTTGAGGCAAAAAAATCAGGAAAAAAAAAAAAAAGCCGCGTCGCCGCACCACTTTTTGGGAAAGCTCCATACAGAAACCGGAGACTTATTTTTTTTGGCCTTAGACTATTATTCACTCATAGTCAAGTAAGGTATTTCATAATAATTTGGTGGTTTCATTTTTTAATGTTTGCAAATGTTGTACATTACCTTTAAAGGAAAAAATGATGATGATGATTGACATCACTTTTAACAATGGTTTATTGTGAAACTTCTGTCCCTTTTTGCCCATGTGTTACAATGAGTATGTAAACACCGGCAATCGTGGACCTAGGACAAAAGGGTTAGGGCACAAACAATACGTCCACGATGGACCGAACGTCCACGATTGAAATTTGTGTACAAAACCGTGAGAGCTGTTGTTAAAACATTGAGTACAAGCAAAGGAATGAGGATTAGGGACAATAGGGGGTCCACGATTACTGGTGTTTACATAGGTGGGTTTGTTGTCATGGATTATTGGGAATGTTGGATATTTTGGATCACAAAATCATCAGAACTTAAAACAGTTTATAAACTCAGTAACTTCTAATAAAAAAATACAACTATGAAAGTAATGGTTTGGTTAAATTTTCTGTTCCCTTTCCACAATTTCATCAGTGCTGCTTTTTTTTTTCTTAAACTGTTACCCTCTTTTCTCATTTAAGATGTACCAAGTGATATAAAGGATTTGTGTATTAATGTTTGATTATAATTCTCTCACTTGGGAAAAAAAAGGTAAGTTGAAATCTACTGAAATTGGGGATTATTAAAAAATATGCATTCACTAACCGTAACTTCCTAGCATGATTAACTAGAAACCATACCCATCCTGGCAAATTCCAATACCGGAAACTGCACACACATATTTCTGACTTTGATTCTGGACCTGTGCCAACCCAGTGTAAAAGACTGTCGGTTAATAGGAGTACTGTACCCATCCTGACAGATTCCAACAAAATATGCCATTGGGGTTTGATGGGTTGAGTTCTGTTAGGGTTTAAGTATAGTTCATAGCTAACCTAGCTATGAACTTGACCTTTATTATGGCTTAATCGTAAGACATAAATTAGGAGGTTCATTTGTTTTAAACCAAAAAAGTGTAGATGTTGGATTTATTTTTTTTACGTTTACTCCTACGTATGTACATTGTAAGCTAGGAGCTTTGTCAGAAAAGCAACCATGTCCAATGCTCAACTGCCTTTTATACCCTTTCTTGGTCGTCATAGAGGGCGTTGTGGGCATGGCTTGGACTAGTTGGTCATGGAGCTTGTATTCCCCGCCATCTTTATTGAGAGTGTTCTCCCCCTGCGTCTGATCCATATGGCCTTCCTGAGCCATCATCTAGTTTTGTCAGGTTCTCCATCAAATCACAGTGGCATTGTCCCATTTTATGGTGTGGTTGGTGGCTGCAACGTGGTCGGTAATTGCGGACTTACGTTGCTTGGTAATGGACCTGTCCCTACATTCAAAGTCTGAAGGACAATGGAGGGACCGGAACAAGTCTCGTGTATCACCTTCCACATATGCACTGCCCTTTTAACACAAAGTCTACGGCACATATCTCCCATGGCCTTTCTCATTACTTACTTTGTTGTCATTAAGATTTGTTCTTGTATAGACCTTATGAGTAGCAGCCATCTGAAAGAGCAATGCCTTTGACTTGCTTGAATATGCATGAGTGAACCTTTCTGTGCATTCATTGTTACAGAATTAAAATACCATACATTGTACATGTACATGTAAGGTGCCCTTTTAAGATGGCCGCTACCGGTACGCCAACTTTGCAATTGAAGAACATAATGTTTACATGTGTGTATATATATAGGGGCTTGTATTGACATCTATTAAGAAATGCAAAATGTATTTGAAAAATGCAGGTCAAATGATTTAGATTTTCACTTTCAAATCTTGTAATTATGAACACCGAACAAGGTGTTTCTTGGAATGGGAGAAGGGTGTTAAAAAACACCCAGGCAATGGTGTGTCATCGTCCAACAGTGGGTCATCCTTATGTGGAATCTATACACCCCCTGCGTCAGAATAGTAAAGCACCAAATGTGTAGTTTTGACGTTATTTGGCAACATTTTGGACCCACCTTTCACAGATTGTGACACACCTACTGAGGAAAAGCGACGTGCCCCATAAATATGTTTGACACACCAAATCTTGGCTTGATACACCCCTGTGTCACAGCCAATAAGGACATGACACACTCTTGACACATCATTGGGGAAGGGGTCATGGTATGTGTCTTATAATTGACAGGTGTATTAGGATGGTTATGAAACTGGTGGTTATCCTTGTGTCCGCCATCTGGCCGGTAAAATTTTGGTCTATCATTAGACTGGTGACATTGAGGAAATAGACTAGAGGGGACTAGTTCCATACTGGATATGCGTTATGAAAACAGATTGAATCTACCCCGGTACGTTTTTTAACACGATTATGTGTAACTTGTTTTACGGTTTTATTTAATACAAATATGATGATTTTGTTTATTCATTAAGTTTTAATTTCAATTTTGTATTAAACTGAAAATTTCTGTAAATGAAACAAAGTGTGTGGTTGCAATACCTGTCTTCTCCTTGGAGGTCTAAACACGGTGAAAAGGGTAGAAAGGAAGGGGCGTGGTTTGAGTTACATGTATTTTACATGGACTCTTTGCAGGACCGATAGAGGGCGCTGATCGCTGGACACCAACGAGGCCCCCTTCGATGGAGGAACCATTGTGCACCCTGAAGCGACATGCTCGTGATGGATTATTTGACTTTTGAGCTTCAGCGAGCACAGTTCTGTGAAGGGGGCCTCTGTGATATTGAGAGGTGGCTGGATTGGTCTGTCATGTACATTAAGAATGCGCACGCAAAGTCGTTTGCTTATTACGACGTGAGTAGCGCGTAACAACAATGCAAAGTGTCTGCTTTAGAACTGTTTATGAAAAGCAACACAGACACAACGTTGAACTTTTGTAGAATATTTATTTTTCAATTTCGATTATTTGGTAATTTGGTAATTTGGTTTTATTACAGTTTGAACTCTCCAAAACTAAGTTTGATTCAACCAGTCTCCATGGTTACAAAACATACAGGTATAATATCATCATTACAATGGGTTGGTTTTTTTTTTTAACGTGAAGGGATTTGACAGGAATTTTAAAATTATGATTCATGATTGACTGATTTATAATTAATTCGTAAATATAGGAAATTCAGCTCCCACAATATATTTTTTTTCGGAGATGCCGTTCTTTATATATTTGTTATTTTCTCTATTTATTAACCTTGCATCATTTGCAGGGTTTCAACTCGCAGAGTTTAATGAAACAGCTTCTTATATTAGGTAAATTGTTATTTGGCTTTGTCAACGGTCCGGTTTCGCCAACAGAGCCAAAAGACGTATCCTCTGATGTGCGCAACAGAGTTGCAATATACATGTATACAGTGCAGACAATGGACACCAAATGGTAGCTAATCCCAATTTGTCCGTAACGTGTCAAGTTGTGTGTGTGTGTGTGCAACTGGAGTTCTGTTAGCCATTTTGTGTCCAGAGTGGTCCGGCCAATCGTCTCCACCCACATTACCAGAATGACTCAGGCTGCTGTAAGTTCAGCCATTTCCACGTCGGCCGTTTCTTCTTCCCGAGTATTATCCTGGCGACGCTTTGCTCGCCACGCCTGTACGCATCCCAAGATCGGTTCTAGAATCAGTACCAGACCGCTGCCGAAGAAGGCGACAGCTCCGACTATCATGACTGACCCATAGTCCTGGGCGTATTCGTACACGTAACCTAGCATGAATAATTGGTAAACAGAGGGAGCCTTTGCAGAACATACAATGATATCTGGAGCCTAATATCTCCGCAAGCCGAAAAAAGCAATGAAAATGTACGTCACTTGCGAATTGTATAGGACTCGAAACTAATATTAAAAGAAGATGATTTGGAGTGAACGTCGTCGCAAAGGTGTCTCGATCATTAACGTTATTTTTGAATAACTGCTTTTGTTTTTAATTCATGAACCTTTTGCAATTCAGTTGGACTATTATTTGCTAGTGAAGACACTGGGGGACTAATAACAGGCGTAGGCCTACTCAGTTACGATTCTAGACCTAGACCATTCAGTGGGGCAACAAAAAAAAAATAGATTAATTGGAAAACCAGTGTCGCCACAATATTTTACGAGAGAGTTTGGAGTTTGTTTACATAAAATGAAAGCGTTTTAACGATTTGTTATTGAGGATCCGCCCTCTCTAAGAACCACTATGCGGATAGTTACCATGGAATACGACATTGTGGTTTGATTTGAAGCAAATGGTATTTGCCGCAATCAGCGATTATTATCAAATCATCATGATCCTGCCCCAAGAACTTACCGGCAAGAGGAGGTCCCACCAGGAAGCCAATTCCTTGCATCTCAATGACCAATCCAAAGGAGTAACCAAGCGAGTCCAGTCCCACATACTCGATCAGGAGGGCAGGCACCAGTGGATCTGTAGACCCTGCAACTAGGGTGTAAGTCGTTGCTGTCATAGCAAGAGTGGTGTAGGTAGAGGCAGTCGACATCAGAGCTAGCAAGATACTAGATATGAACAGCGAAGCTAGGTATCCCATCAAACGGTGCGAGACACACATGACACGGTCGAAGA